CAAGTAAGCTACATCTCAACATTGACAATGCAAACATCAATGTATCATCAATTGAGCAGGTAAATCTATACCTCAGAAAGTAAAGCAACAACAACAGCAGATATGCATGGTATTTCCTCGGAAAGTTGGAAGATAACACGAATAACTGTGAAAACTTGAAGATCTTTCAACTGCAGGCAATTAAAAATTGGTTTAAAAGTAGCATTAGTGAGTAGAAGTCCATAAAAATAATGCCCTCAAAGTACAATGTGGGAAACTAGTTACAAACAGACGGGAAGGATGCTAGGGCCTTCCACCTGAATTGGAATAGAAGCAACCAGAGCTTCCACAGCTAGAATGATGCTGGGATCTCCACCCCACCGAAAGTCAATATCCATTATAATTTGACCCTTCTTAAGGCTCTGGACACGGATACCTGCATTAACCATATGCGCAAGATAAAAGCAAACCTAACTGGACTCATAATTAATCAACCAATACCCTCTACATTTTCCTAGTTGGAATCTTTGCTGCATCTCAAGGACCCTCTTTAGTTAACAAATTTGATATAGCTGTCAATGTCCAAATACGATTAGGGTAGTTTAGTACAGTTCTACAAAATTATATGAATAACCTAATGCGATCAAGTGGAATAGTTTAAACAATCTTTTTATAACACTGACATCACTACCATACAATAAGTAGACTTTGTTGGCATAACTTGTAATGGAAGTCACATGAGCCATTTTCAACAAGGTTAGAGGTTACCAGAAACTAATGATACTCCTAATTTTTTAACATAATACGAACAAAGAGACAAGACCATATTTTTAATCAAACGAGAGAGAATGAAAATAAAGTATTTGACTTCTGAATTCTTTAATTGCAAGCTACCTTCAATCTTTGGTGCCACGGTTCCTAGGGACAGTTTCTTGAACTTTAACGAAGAAATTCCTGGAGGTCGGTATTCTTCTAGTAGGGGTTCAACAGACATCTTAATAATAGCCTCTGCTGCCTGTAAAAATGCCATAAAAGGAAAACATCGATGGACTAGTGGACCAGAAGAAAGAATATTCTAAACTAAATAAGCCAATCAATCAGGACATGAAATTCTTTTAGCGTCAAAAAGGAAAAAGTGAACCATTGCACTCCATTCAACTTGTGCATGCAAAGCAATGGTCCAACTAGATGAAAGACATGCACATTTAAAGGAAAATGAGAAAATAGACGAATCTTTGGTCCATGTGATAATGGAAACAGCTCCTACTGGATGTTGCAAAAAAGGTTGTGACTGTTAAACCTCATAATAGAAATTCACTGCTTAAAATTCTACCTGTAAGTAGAGTGAGGGCATTGTCAATGTGCTTATATGTCATATGTGTGTTGACTGTTGAATGGCCATCTACAGATGGCTAGTCAGCTAGTGTATAATGAATCGCATGATACAATTTTCACACAATTGTAAACCATCATCATGCCAAAGTTTGTGGTTTCCATTCTTTACCTAGAACAAGACTCGGCCAAATAGTGGTATTATTTGGGGGGTCAATATCTATCTCATAACTTCGAAACTTTAAACAATCACATATCTTACTTCAGCAATAAATGGCCACAGTTTGCTCAATTGTTTGTTCAACCATTTGACCTGCCAAAGTGAGATAAAGTAAGACAAAAGGGGCTTAAAAATGTATATATAGATATTAAGGGAATGCACATAAAACTTCCAAAGCACTTGATAATGAATGCTTTTGACATCTTACAACACTAAAATTTCAGAAGACGTTATTTTCTCTTCTCAGGCTTCACCATACCAACTCGGGATCAGGAGAAGATGAAGAGGAAATAATTTTTCTAGCAAGAACAGTTAACCGTGTCCATTTGAAGCCCAACATAATAAATGAATACATGGTAAAAAGTCAACCTGCTCATAGACAGGGAATGAAATCCATTCAGGAAAGTTTTCACCGCATATTTTCTTCAAGTCATCCCTGTCAAGGCATCCCATTAGTTTAACGTCAACTGCCTGCCAGGAAATAAATTTAAATTAAATAAAAAAAGAACAACAATTAATATCAAGTTATAAATTCACTTGAAAGCACTCAAAATAACTAAACACGTGTGTAGAGATGTAAGTGGTTTGAGGAAATCATCAGAGTAACTACTTAAAATTTTGGGTAGCACTCGGCCCAAACATTATGCTGTTGTAAATTGACTAATTCAGTGATACCATACTGCTAGGAGCAATAAAATGGCATGCAGCATGGCACTTGGCCGAAAGAAATTCACCATAAGCAAATCATCTGCAAAGTTTGGAAACTATACAATGAAGCCTAGCTACTTAGTCACATAAATTACGGTAGACATTCTTCCCAGACTCAATCCTGGCCAGCTAAAGCCATTTCTCCGAATCCAAATAAGGAACTACACACGAGAATCAATCCTTGAACTAGGACAGTAGGATCAGTTTCAGTAACACACGCGATGAGCAGATTAGAGAAAGGCATGGAATTGAGAGGAACCCCTAAGATTAGGCCAAAGATGATGAAGAAATGAGTAAGAGCATAAAGAAATCAACTGACTTTGGCCGTTCGCTTGCTGCTCCGATATCTCATCATGTGTCGCCAACCAGCCATCAATCCGATTCCGAACAGAATCCCCATCAGAATCCCGGAAATCAACCCCATCCCCGACGATCCAACAGAATTATCCCCTGAAACAAACCAAATCAAAACATGGAATCTCAGAAACAATTTGCAAATGATACATATTCACCCTTTCAACTCACCCCAGTAGCTCCCTTGTCTCTCTGTAAATGATATATTCACCCTAAGATCTAGCGTGCTCTCTCTCTCTCTCTCGCTCACTTCTCTGTAATTATAGATAGATGGGGTTGTTCAGTGGTGCAATTAATTACTGTAATTTTAATGGGGGAACGTTTGCAGTAGAACGACGCCCCTCCCCTCTGCTGCGCTGCGTGCATTCAAGTCTCAGGTTTTAACCACAATTTCGTCACCGTTTCTTTCAGGGAAGGGAAGGGGAAGGGGAAGATTTTGTTTTGCAGTTGCACTCTTTAGTCTTTAAACAGATTAATAAACCAAACAAAAGTTATTACGTAGAGTGAAATTACAAATTTAGGCCTAAAAGTCTAGGAAAGTTTTCATGGCAGGAGGTTAGAATGGGAATTTTCATGTACAATAATATTACTTGCAAACCTCTTGGTGTACACCAAGGAATTACATTAGCATGAGCAACAGTTTTGCAAAATTGGAATACAACATTCTGACTTGGAATATTTCAACTAATGAAAAATAGCTTAATCAGTGTCTAGCAACTGAGTAAAGTGGCATAGCCTGTAATGACAAGTCACTATTTTTATTACTCCGTACTTTTTTCCTTTTCTTGCTATATTTGAATTATTAAAAAATATTTACCTTTTTGTTTTAACATCAAAATATTTCTATTAATAAAAATTATTTTTCATATATGTTCCATATTTTTATTTATCCATCCGTCTCAATTTTAGTTAAATATCGTAAATCGAAACAAAAAAATTAAATTGTGACGGAGGAAATAGCATGTTATGCTCTGTATTTAGGGTGTGTTTGGTTAGGGGGGAATATTTTTCGAAAATAATATTTTGCAATGGAAAATGGTTTTCAAAGAAGCTTTATATTTCCCCAACATTTTTTCATTGTTTGGTAGAGATGAATTTTAAAAAAAATATTATTAATTCTTAACATTTCAAAATTGATACTTAAACCTTTATTTTAAGGATAATTTTAAACTATTTTAGCAATGTGAGGAGCAAGAGAATATATAATAAGTAAGGAGGATAGCACTGATTTACGAGTGATGGAGGACGGTGGTAAAGGAATAATGAGCAGGGATCTATGGTGGACG